TTCATGTTTCAGTGCACTGAATCACACCTTGCCAGTGCAAGTGGTCCCTGGCCTCAGGTTAGATTCTTGAATGTGTATTTTTGCCTGTTTGGAGGAAATTGAGCAGTATGAGTCACATCAGAGAGTTCCCGAAATGAGAAGTGGAGATAAGATTTTCTGGCTCCTGGGGTTTCACTCCAGACAGAGTGGAGACTGTCTTAGGCAGCCTGAGAAATTCCAGCTTCTTTGTAGCAATCATATTGCCTACCTTATTCACACTTGATGAGACACCAAAGCCAAGGGATGAGTATGTTTTTGGAAATTATCTTTTCTTCCCATCTAGACCTCAGGGAAAACTTGTGCCTTAGACCTTTTGTCTCTGAATTTTTAAAGAATTAGTGTTTCGAGCTCTTCTCCAAACAGGAAACACCTTCACTACTGGCACCAGAACTCCTTTTCCCCTCAAGGCTGGCTAAAGCTCTGTTTCTTCCTCTTCTACTGAGTGTTACTGTGGGTGAAGCTGGAGTTTTTTCCATGACTTCAAAATTTCAAGTTGTTTTACAGCTCTTTGCCATGGGATAAATGTCTGTTATACAAACTATTTTGACATAAATACTTATGAAGTGTTTTAATTTAGTAATGACAAATATAGCTCCTAAAAAGAAATGGAATTGGATTATTCAGAGGTACTTAGTTCTCTGTTTTCATCTGTTGACATAAAAGTGTCATTGAAATATTTAAAAAGGAAGACTTAGAAATATGTAAATGCAGATGTAATCTTACAATGTAGGTCAAGAACCATTCTTTAAAAAAAGACATGGAAAATTCATCTCTGTCTCTTTCCATATGTGCATAGGTACATGTAGATATTCTGGTTACCTGAGATCTCACAGTGTTCTGTATTTGTCTTATTTTTGTGATTTCAGCAAGTTCAACAGAGAACTTTAGATAATCTAATCTAAAAAGATTTCCACTGCATCCCATTTTCATAAGCTACTGATAATGACAGACAAATGTTTCTCAAATCAAGACTTAAAAATCTCCAACAGAAAGCTAGACTCTACAAAACTCCTGTTCTCACATTCCATGGCCTTCTTATTTAGAAAAATTGCCTTTAAAACTTTGTCTCTACAAAGCAATTCAACCACTACTTGTTACACACCAGCTGAACATAGAGAATTGTTGATCTATATGCCTCCTAAGTACTCTAAAATACCTTTTAGGTTTTAGAAGATCACGTAGATTTTGTTCCTCTGTCGTCCATTTCTACAGTGGGGTGGGAATAAAACAGTTAAATGCCTTGGGTGTTTGCATATAAGCCATATTTTCTGAGCATGTGTTACTTGAACTGTGATCTGTGGGGAGCTTATCGTTTGGAAGATTAGATCACTTAGAATCTCCTTACAAGTCAGACAAGCATTCATGTATGTTTTCAGGGAAGCGAACAAAATGAGGGTGTTAATAAAAAATAAAATTAGTAAATCTTAAAATCTTTTGGGTTTTGTTATGAAAATAGTACAGGGTGTCAAGATTGTATAAGATGATCCTAGTCTCTTTTCCAAAAGAGAATGAAACTTTGATATCATATTAAATAATGTATTGACTGTGTTGCCCAGAATTTGATTGTATTTTGTCTGCCTGTAGCTTTATAAAATTGCAGTACTTAAGATTGGGAGCAGTACACCAGATGACATTTGGCAACGGCAGATTGGATGGGATAATTGCAAATTTTGTCTTAAATAAAACATTCCTTATTCCTATTCCTACATAGCAGAACAGCATTTCCTATTTTTAAAACTGATGACAAATCATTAACCCATATTGAATTTGTGATCTGCTATACCTCCTAGTTCCTTTTGTACAATTCTCCTGCCTAGCTAGCAGTTTCACAGTTTGTTTCTAAGGGTTTTTTTGGTTGGGTGGTTTTTGGTTTTGGTTTTGTTTTTTTCTTTTTTTTAGATTAAGACCGTTGTGTTTGTTTCTATTGATTTGTCCTCATTTCTTTTGGATCACGTCTCTAATTTACCCAAGTTTGAGTCCTACATTAGTCCTTTGGAACTCTTGCAGTTCACCAAAGCCTGGTGTCATCTGCACATTTTGTAAGCATTTTAGATGATAATTTGCCATCCAACTTAAATTGGATGCTCAAGTTAGTTCAGGATAAGCCCTTGCAGGGCTTATTTGTATAGTCTTCTCAGGCTAATAGTGATCTTTGAAAAACTGCCCTTTGAGTAGTGGTTATATGTCTCGCATGCTCATTTTATGGTGATTTCAGCTAAGTATAACTTCACTTGTTTGCTTATAAAAGTGTCTCATGGGACAGTATTAAAGGATTTAATTATAGCAAGCTATAGCACATTATTTTTTTCTTTGTTACTCACTCAGCCTTGAAGTACAAACTAGATTGATCTGCCAAGAAAAAAATCAATATCAGCTGTTCTTGACAGCGTAGTAGCCTTCTGCTGATTTTTCAGTTTTCTTTAAAAACGTTTTCAGTATGGTTCTGGTATCTTTTTTAGGTGCTCACATGGAAGTCCTGGCTTCTAATTACCTTGATCTTCCTTTTCTAGGTACAGAGAGGCAGTATTTGCTTTTTGTCAGCCCTCTGACACCTTTCCTGGTACTCTCAAAGGTAATTACTGAGGGTTTGGATCCTTAAACAGTAACTTGATGGCTGTAGCTAACCTAAATAGTCTTTGCTTCAGTCTTTCCATATGCTGACCTATTCTCTTTTCCCAATGCATAACACTATTGCAGTGAGTATCTGTTAACTTTTCTCTGTATAGAAAGAAATGACACTTGACGTGTCCTCTGTCAATTGCTGTTCTTTAAATAGCAGACCTGACTGGGTTTTGCTATTCTTACTCCTAGTGTGTTTATATAGCCTTTTCTTACCTTTTATGTCTCATAGTGTCCTATTGAGTAAACCTTCCAACTCAGTTGGAAACAGTTGCTGGTAGATAATTTTTGGTAGGCACCTCTGTTTGTAAGGGAAAAAAGATGATCTGGAGTATTCCCATTCATTTGTAAAAAGTTGGTATTTCACTTGTGGAAATGAAGGTTTGGAGTATATAGGAACAAGAAGTGTTCAGCATTTCTAAAAATGTGACTTGATTTAGGTTTAGAGTCTCCAATTTTCTGGCAGAGAAGAATTGCATTAATTTTAAGGAACTATATCTGTGTTCTTGTGTACCTTGTAGCACGAGGGGAGAGTGGACAGCCACAACCAGCTCAA